TTTTATTTCACTTGTATTTTTGGAGTAGAATAAAATATTGGTTGTGTCCGAGGAGTAGGCAAAATTAGCCGAACCTCGTAAATTCTGGTGTTCCCTTTATTATTGCTTTATTATCTTATTTATTATTTGGTGGCTGTCATAATTTTTGGTATAGTAGTTGTGACTTATTCACACTATATACATTTGGCTTCCGCAACACCAGCAACATATAGAGACTAAAAGCATGAGTAATATTCTTATCTTTTCTTGTTCCTAAATCTTTTTATTACATGTTGCGTCATTCTTACATTAGTATTAGTACTATTCTTGTATTTTTTATCTCTAGATCTTTGATTTTATCCGTTGTGTCTTTGTTTTTTTCTTGTTGATTGTTATGGTCGGTTGCTTCCCTGTCACTGTTCCTTGAGCCGAGGGTCTATCGGAAACAACCTCTCTACCTTTACAAAGTAGGAGTAAGGTATGCGTACACATTACCCTCCCCAGACCCTACTTGTGGGATTATATTGGTTTGTTGTTGTTGTTGTAAGCATGAGTATTTGTTAGGTATTTGCCATAATTTTCTTACCATATTTGGTTTTCCTATTTGTTGAAGGAAAGGGCAATATAATTACCTTAATTGGGTTTTCCTTTTTATAATTCTCCTATACTTGACTAGTCCTTTTTCTTATAGGAAAAGGTTTGGAGTTCTATAAATTGAAGATTCGTCCTTCTCATTCAGTAACATCCACAATGTAGCCATAGGGTCTTGAGAGTAGTGTTTAGGGGAGAACTTTACGGGACAAGTGTTAGTGTGTCACTTGTGTTTGCCTCTTTATGAGGTTGTTCTCTCGATATTTTGTACTCTATTTTTATATAGTGGATTGCTCATCTCCGCGGTGGACGTAGGTCAGTTGACCAAACCACGTTAAATGTTTGTGTCTCTTTTGGTAGATTTCTACTTTGTTGTCTCATTTATCGTCGTTGAAGGTTTTGTTTGCTAGCTTCCGCATGACACCTAGTTTTTTCGGTCCTAACAAGTGGTATCAGAGCGAGGTTCAAGACAGGTTCATCTTGGCGGGTTCAGTTCTAGCCGCAATATATTTGACGATAATCATGAATTTTGTCTGAGAAATTTGACCGGTGTGTTACGTACGTTGAGACAAACTTTGTGGTGGAGATTTGGAGATGCGGCCTGTTGAAGGCTATGTGAAGAAGGTGGATCAAGTTTATTTTGTCAGAAAATTCCGGCCAAGGGGGAAAATTGTTAGGTGTTTGTCATAATTTTCTTACCATATTTGGTTTTCTTATTTGTTGAAGGAAAGGGCAATATCATTACGTTAATTGGGTTTTCCTTTTTGTAGAAGGAAATTATAATTCTCATATACTTGGCTAGTCCTTTTTCTTGTAGGAAAAGGTTAGGAGTCCTATAAATTGAAGATACGTCTTCTTCATTCAGTAGCATCCACAATGTAGCCATAGGGGCTTGAGAGTTGTTTAGGGGGAGAACTTTACGGGACAAGTGTTAGTGTGTCACTTGTGTTTGCCTCTTCGTGAGGTTGTTCTCTCGATATTTTGTACTCTCTTTTTATATAGTGGATTGCTCATATCAGCGGTGGACGTAGGTTAGTTGACTGAACCACGTTAAATATTTGTGTCTCTTTTGGTATATTTCTCATTTGTTGTATGATTTATCATCGCTCAAGGTTTGTTTTGCTAGCTTCCGTATGACACCTAATTTTTACGGTCCTAACAAGTGGTTTTCCTATTTGTTTAAGGAAAGGGCAATATAACTACCTTGATTGAGTTTTCCTTAATTGGGTGTAAAGCTTGTGTGCATATTCCTAAAGATGAGAAATCGAAACTGAATGTCAAAACTAAGCAATGCATCTTTATCGGTTATGGTCAAGATGAGTTTGGGTATCGTTTTTATGATCCAGTTGACAATAAACTTATTAGAAGTCGTGATGCAATATTCTTTGAAGACCAAACTATTGAAGATATTGACAAAGCTGAGAAGATAGATTCTCAGAGTAATGAGAGCTTAGTTGATGTTAATCCAGTTTCAATTGCTAAGGCACCTATTGCACATAAAGAAACCCAAGACAATAATGGAGATAGTGATCAAGATCAAAATGATCATCATGGTGTAGATGTTATGGATGCTCCAGTTGATGAAGTTGTGGTTGATCAGCTACCAATTCTTGTACAGGTAACTACTTCGAATGCTCCTGAAACCTCTCTTAGAAGATCTACAAGGGAGAAGCAAAAATCCATACGGTATCCTCCTGATGAGTATGTACTTTTGACTGACATGGGAGAACTTGAGAATTATGATGAAGTCATGCAAGAGAATGGCACATATGAGTTAGTGAAATTGCGAAAAGGTAAGAGAGCGTTATCTAACAAATGGATATTCAGAATAAAGCAATATAGCCATACCTCTGCGCCTAGATACAAGGTGAGGTTAGTTGTTAAAGGTTTTGGCCAGAAGAAGGGAGTTGACTTTGATAAAATTTTCTCCCCTGTTGTGAAGATGTCTTCTATTCTGTGGTTCTAGGCTTAGCTGCAAATCTAGATTTAGAGGTTGAGCAGATAGATATCAAGACTGCTTTTCTTCATGGTGATTTAGATGAGGAGATTTATATGGAGCAGCTTGATGATTTTGTAGTTAAGCTTGCAGATAAGCATGTGTTTTGCAGAAAATTGGCAGCCATGAAGTCTATCAATAGTTCCTCTACTTGAAGACACAATTGGCCCCTTGGCTGGAGGGGGAGTTTTTTGGGCACATTCCCTGTTGTCCAGCCAAAGGCCCAATGGTTTAATCCTATTCTCTTTTGGTTTCCAATCTTATTCGGAATTAGATTCGGTTTATTCCTATTTTGAGTGGGTTTTGGCTTTAAGAGAAAGCACCACTCATGATCTATAAATAGGACAACCTTGGAGAATTATTCTATGCTCATTGATACAAGTCTTTAAAAGACTTAAGTACATAAGAGTGGTTTTTGAGAGAGCTTTCGTCAAGAGAGAAGAGAGAAGAAAAATATTTGTTTTGCTGCAGATTTTATTCCCACCATCCAACATTCAAATCGCGTTTACCGATTCGTTAACCGTTGGATCGGTATGAAATTTTGACTGAGTGTTCATAACATTTTATTCTTGGATTTGAATGGTGGAGATCAGATTTAGAGGCTTGTAGAATCTGATTTAGAGCCTCGAACAGCAGCTTCGTTTTTGTGGATTCTCCTCTTTCTTCAACTAATTAGTTGTTGCTCTTGTTACTATTGTTGCTCCGTGTTTGGCACTTGTTGTGTAGCCAATATAGAGAACTTTTGTAACCCTCTTATTGTTATAGTGGAGCCTTTTTTGGATCTTTGTGATCCCGTGGTTTTTACCTTCGATTTGAAGGGTTTTCCACGTTAAAATTTGGTGTTTTTTATCTTCTTTATTTTCGGGTTTGCCCCTTCCTCGACATAACAAATGGTATCAGAGTGAGGTTCAAGACAAGTTCATCTTGGCGGGTTCAGTTCTAGCCGTAACATATTTGACGATAATCGTAATTTTTGTTTGAGAAATTTGACCGGTGTGCTACACACGTTGAGACAAACTTTGTGGCGGAGATTTGGAGATGCAACTTGTTGAAGGCTATGTGAAGAAGGTGGATCAAGTTTATTTTATCAGAAAATTCCGGCCAAGGGGGAGAATTATTAGGTGTTTGCCATAATTTTCTTACCATATTTGGTTTTCCTATTTGTTGAAGGAAAGGGCAATATAATTACCTTAATTGAGTTTTCTTTTTTGTAGAAGGAAATTATAATTCTCCTATACTTGGCTAGTCCTTTTTCTTGTAGGAAAGGTTTGGAGTTCTATAAATTGAAGATCCGTCCTTCCCATTCAGTAGCATTTACAATGTAGCCATAGGGGCTTGAGAGTAGTGTTTAGGGGGAGAACTTTACGGGACAAGTGTTAGTGTGTCACTTGTGTTTGCCTCTTCGTGAGGTTGTTCTCTCGATATTTTGTACTCTCTTTTTATATAGTGGATTGCTCATCTCCGCGGTGGACGTAGGTCAATTGACCGAACCATGTTAAATGTTTGTATCTCTTTTGGTAGATTTCTCCTTTATTGTCTGATTTATCAGGTTTGCTTTACTAGCTTCCGCATGACACCTAATTTTTTCGGTCCTAACAGTATTAAGGTAAGAAAACTTACAGTCCTCCCATAAGAACATTGAAACCTGCTACAAATACATCACCACCTTTTTCTCCATGTTTGCTGACTAGAATCGATCCGAGCCATGCCTGAAAAGCCCAGCTAATATAAACCATTCCCAAGCTTCCCAGCAACAGCCCTCTAGCAAAGCCTTGCTTGATTCCTAATTCCATAACTTTCTGCAGCGATTGACTGAACTTCTCGAGAGTTTGGTTCTCAGCAACATAAGAGTATAGTGTTCTTATAGAAGAGATAGCTTGTTCTGCTATTCCTCCAGAGACTGCATAGGACTCTATCATCTGCATTCCCACGTTCATCATCATTGTCCCAAATCCAAGTCCTGGGATGATGAACATTAAGGTGAATGGTATTGCTGCCAATGTGATCTTCCATGATAACACAAACGCAAAGATGTGGCAGAACAAGAAAGATGACATATAAGCCAGGCAATCAGGTATCTGCATCGAACCACAATCCACCATATATTATGCAATGGCATGAACTTATGATATGTAAGCAACACAACAACCAGTTTCAATTCCCACTTCTATATGTTATGAAACTTGTACGATGAAGGGAAGAAGCGGGTGCCATGGACTAGAAGGAGTTTAAGTTCTAAGCACTGACGATATACATAATAAGTATTTATAGGTACATAACCTAAATTAAATACTACTAGTAACTTGCTATAACAAAGATCACACTGATGGTGTAAAGCAATTTTATATATCTTAAATCCAATAGATCATATATACCTTCTCGCCTATGGTCACTTGAATCGTAGTTGAATCAGCTGAGACGGTTGAAATCACTTGATAAGTAGTGGAAGATTCAGCTGCCTGAGTGTCAAAAAATCCAACTTCCTGCCTCAGCACAGATTTTAGATACTCTAATCTCATACGAGATGTTTGTCTTTCAGCAGTTCTTGCCCAACATAATCCTTCTGCAGAATTTTCAGTATGTCATCTTTGGTAAAGCACTATGTACAATTAAGAAAAAGAAGACATTCACTCTATATGCGCACTCCATTTTGGAAAAAGATGAATTGTAAAGAGAAGGATACTAAATGATATCTTCAGTATTTACCAACAAAAGCAGACAGTCCAACTCCAATTGCGACATAGAGTAGCCTAAGAGAATACTGCAATAAAATGAAAGGGAAAAAAAGAGAGATTATTATAAGGTCTTACTTGTTACTTCTAGTTGATATGCATATAGAACATAGTTAATTACGAGGGGAACTCAAGTTCATTATTTTCTCACCTTGTTCACAGTATGCATAGAAACTGAACTACTTAGGTTTCCATAATCATTAATCACTTCACTAAGCACAAACATCATTAGAGGAATCTGCAGACCATCTCCCATACTTCCTAAAGTCCCAAAGAACATTAACAACTTGTCTGTTTTATCAGCAAATTTAAACATTCCTCCTTTATTATTCCCCATTATTTCTTATGGTTCCCTTAAAGAGGGTTCTGCACCTTTTAGAACACACACAAAATCTATAATCCCTACACGTATACTATATATATATCCTGGTCTTTTATACGTGGCTAGTTATATATGTTGCAGGCCGTAGGCGGATATTAGCTAATGGAAGTATGCGATAGTAGCCGGCTTGTTGGTTGTTAGCCTTAACTTTACAATGTGTGTTGGTTTTATGAGACTTGACAATTCCGCCAGGATAATGATTGCTTCTCCTTGTTTTTACTTCACTTAGTGTGTGCTTGGTATGAACTATGAAGGAAAATATTACTCTAAATAATCTTTATTTCATTTCACGCTCTTTAAGAATTAGAGAGGTAGGAGGCTTTCCTTTGTTATAGAAATAATATAAAATGCACTACTAAAGAAAAAAAGAACTTTTCCCCCTTTTTAATGGACAATTCTTTTTGGTGTTTAATTGCCAAGAAATGACACATATTTTTAAAAATACTTTGTTTACCAACAACGCACTTGTATTTCTTTGAGATTTATCATGACAGGTTAGAACTCTCAAAGTAAGGCTATGTTAAGTAAGATGCGTGGTTAGACGGTTAGACAAAGTAGTGTTAGATCTTGATAACAATGTTTTGGTGATTATTATAAGAAGGAAGTAGGTTTTATATTTTACAAGTGACTTGGATTCTTAGAACTTGGCCACACTAATTAACGTATTGTTTTGACTCAAAATCATTCTCGAAACGTCATTTGTAATATAATCATATCTAGGATCACTGTCTATCACTGTCAATATATATGCATAGCACACATATATTGACAATATATATGTAACTATGTGACTTCATCTTTGCCCAATTGAGATGCGATCTTAGAATGTCGCCAATTGTTTTTTATGACGACTCGGCTGGCCAATTTTAGATCGCTTCTTGTTGGAGTCCAGAGCCTAAATGTTGTTTTTTTTTTTGGACTTAAAAGATCGAAATAAGTGGGGAAAAATTTAGTGACCAAAATACATAAAACGCGGTTTTAAAACGCGGTTTTAAAGCGCGCTTTACTTTAACGTCCATTTTGGATGTTAAGGTAAAGCATCTTTTGAAACAACGTTTTATATAAAACGCTTTTATGAAATGCGTTTTATTTATTTTGTGGGTTGCGCTTAACTGATATAACAATAATTCAAATATGTAAAACGCGTTTTGAAAGGGCGTTTTACCTCAAAAAATTCCCCCCCCCCCCGGGTTTGGGCATTGCCTTATTTAAAGGCGTTAAGGATTTTGCAAAAAATCCATTCAGAAATATTCTAACTCCTGTTAAATTTTTCTTCTTGTTAAATTCTCAAGCATTTCGTCATAATATTTGAAGAGCGAAAAGTAAGGGTTTCATTATATTGGAGGGGGGGTGAGGTTGTGGTGGCGAATAACTGAGTGAGCTATAGTTTATCTCCACAAAGTCATGTTAAGTTGTCACTTACAATGGAGTACGAATAACACCATCAATGAGGTTTCTGAGACAGAAGGCGAGGACATAACACCTAATGCCTCCCCCAGGCGAGGTGGGTCGCCCCTCCCTCACGGCAGTGTCGCAACGTCCCGCGGTAAAGGAGTTTTCACGTCCATGATGAAAGAGACGCCACTAGTAGTGAAAAAGCTCCTTGAGACTTGGCTAGTTGACACGCTAACCAGCATCCTCAACAAGCCAGCTAGGAGACAGTCAAAGAAAACGCAAGGACTTGCATTACACCGACAACGGTCGAGCAGCATGGCTATTTCCCTCCAATAACAGGTATTACTCACGCTGTTAATAATGCAGGTGACGACACCCTCACAACCATTTTGAAAAAGATAGAGGAAATGGAAAAAGAGAACAAAGCACTTCGGGCCAAATGAGAGAGCACCAAGAAAGAGTCGACAAAATATCGGGTGCCCCGAAACTCTTGGCAAAAAGAGATGCTAGTCGGTTTGTCGAACAACCATACAGTGATGAAGTCGTCCCGCATGCCATACCAAAGACCTTCAAAATGTCTCCCTATCTGAAAATATATGATGGTGTGACCGATCTCGAAGATCATGTAACTCACTATGTCATCGATGTAAAAGGCAATGACCTCGCCAAGTAACAAGTATCCTCCATCTTGTTGAAAAAATTCGGTGATGCCACACCTCTTTTTTATCTACACCCCCGAGAGGTGATATAAGGGAGTTTTTCCAATTAAAGTGACATAAATCGAAATGGGATTATTTATTTATTTTTCAGAGTCGCCACTTGGAATAATTTATGGTGTCTCAAGTCACCGGTTTATTTTAAATCCCAAATCGAGGAAAATTCGACTTTCCTTTTGAAGTCTACGAACCAGAAATTCTAAATAAGGAATTATGTTAACCCGAGGGAAGGTGTTAGGCACCCCCGGATTCCGTGGTTCTAGCACGGTTGCTTAAACTATTATAATCGGCTTATTATCTGATTTTAATACATGTTTTAACTTATGGTGCAATTTTAACTTATTAACCACATTTAATTAATTTTAGGAAGATTCAACGTTATCTAAAACATGTCTTGAACAACGCCACATGAAATGCACCCGCGGTCCGCGATATATTTTATTTAACGTTGTTGAGATTTGGATTTGGGTCACATGAAATGCACACCCGAGTTTAGGAAAGTAATTTAAATTACGCGCCTAAAGCAACTACGCACTTTCAAGTTTGCGAGGGCCATGGAAAATTTGCTAATGGCACATCTTGATTTCTAAAGGTTCAAATTAATTAAGTGAGGGCCATGCATTTTGAGGTTTTATTTGGCATGACACACCTCAAATTATTTCAATAGGGCTTTATTATTCGAAGTTGTTATAATCGGGTCACATGAAATGCACCCCCGAATTTGGAAATTAGGCATCGTAACTATGTTACGGGAACCGTACCCATAGTCACAATGGTTTATTAATCGCGCCTAAAGCAACTAGCGCATTTGGATCATTTTCCTAATCTTGGAGATTATTGCCAAGAGTTATGGAGATTAATTGTGACATATGAGTAAACCTCAAATTGATCTAATCATAGTCAAACATCTTCCAAAATCCAACAAATCTCAATCACGTCACAATAAATAAACTAAAATAAATGAGAACTAACATTAAAAATAACGCCACTTAATATTGCTAAAATTAAGAAATGCAAAGATACCACATGAAACACTTTTGATCATTGAAACAAACAAACTTTCCATGAAACAGTTGGCCATTAACTCCACGTGTGTTCAAACTCCTAATTTAATCGAGTAATTAAAATCAGATATCAAACAATATGAAACACACAGCATCATGCTTTTACAAAGAAATCAACGAAATAGCTTCGACTTGGAGATATGTAGCTAGAATATATAATTAGAACTAGAAGCTATTTGTTGGAAAATACGCCATAATACTCTACTATATAAAAGTAGATTATTTCACTTCCTATTTAACTACAAATCCATTGGAAACGACTTTGCAGATCTAACAAACAATTTTACGGGCCCGGAATTCAAACGAACTGTCATTTATGGAGAACATAGATGTTTCAGTAATAATTTTTCAGAATAATATTTACACAAAGTTCTATACTGTACTTCACATATATAGGTAATTGAGACCAAATCAAGTTTGCATTTAACGTTGAAGCATTTTACACATAGGGATGACTGACTACAGCAGAACCTAGCAATATTATAGCAAAATGGCATCCATACTGTTTGAAACAAGGATTCGTACCTTAACAGCATGCAAATAGAAATAAAAAAAAANAATATTATAGCCAAAAGGCATCTATACTGTTTGAAACAAGGATTCGTACCTTAACAGCATGCAAACAGAAATAAAAAAAAAACAGGGTCTCAGCAAAGCGAGCTTAGCAAAAGGGCGGTTTCAATTCCCAGAAAACCGCTCGAAACCCCAGCAATGGCGAGGTATTGCAGCAGAAATCAAAACAGCTCCTGTAACCTTCTTTTCTATGATTTTTCCCTTCGTTTTTCTTTTTTTTTTTTTTAAGTTTTTTTTTTTTGGTTCTTCTTGGGTCTAAAGGGCAGGGTCTGATTTGGTTGTTGAGAGGAGAGTGTCGTTTCTATTGTGAGGGAGTTGCTAGGGTTCAATCGTCCATTTTTGGAGAGGGAGAGAGTTTGATGGTTTTCTCTTGTTTTTTAGGTCAGAAATGAGGAAGAAGAAGAGGGGTGAGCTAAGGATAAGAAGCAGCAGCGTTTTTGGGTGCCGGAGAAATGGGCATCTCCATTTTTCTTTGTTCTCGTGCACCGCTTGGATCTAATGAAAGAGTCCGTTCTCCTCCCCCTTTAGGTCTAGGTATATGGGGGTTTTAATGAAGGGAATTGGGTCATGGGAATTGGGCCGGATAGGAAAGTTTTGGGCCTGATTTGGATACAAGAACTAACCCAATATCCAATTAAACCTTTTCTTCACTTTATTTTCTTATCTTTCCCTTTTCTTTTCCTTTAATTAATTAAAATCCTAAATTAATCTATTTTTGTAGAAATTAAAATTCTTTATTTATTTTTAACATTAAAACAACTAATTAACTAAAAAAATGCTAATTTTAAAGACTAAAAGTTAAATATGTAAAAATGACAATTTTTAGGATTTTTCTATGATTTAAAAATATTAAAATACATGAAATGCAAATAAATAAAGAAAAATTCCTAAAAACAATAAAAAATTATTTTGGTCTATTTTTTAGGAGTTATTTTCATGTAGGGCAAAAATCACGTGCTCACAGGTGAGACCCTTACCGGAGGAGCATTAACTTGGTATTCACAGTTGCATGCGCATTCCATCGAAACATTCGAAGAGATGGCCGACAAGTTCGTAACGGCCCATGCTGGGGCCAAAAAAGGGCGGAGGCGAGAGTGAACGATATATTCGCTATCAAACAATCTCCCGGAGAGGGATTGAGGGACGTCCTCGCTCGATTCAACTGAGTAAGGATGACCTTGCCAAATGTATCAGAAGGAATGGTCATAGCACCTTTCCAAAACGGGCTGAGCAGGAATGGTTCAAGGGCGACCAGAAAGCTATTAAGTCGGCTAATGAAATATCCTCCAACTACTTGGGACGAAATACATAACGCATATTGTGTCGAGGTTCGGGCAGACGAGAACGACCTGAATGAGCCAACTCATCGGTTGACCTCGGTATAGTCCGAATCCAGGAAGGATCGAAGAAATGATATTAGGAGGGATCTCGCAGCTCCACGACATAACCGAGAACGACATCAGCCGTATATCAGAAGCGCCATCATGCCCCTCTCCCGCCACGAAAAGGGACCACCTAGATCAAGGATAGGGACTCACCGGAACAAGGGAGGTATGCCCCTTTTGTTATCCGCTCACAATTTTGTGTGTCACCTTTAGAAATAGTCTACGCATTGGAGAATCTCGGACCAAAAGTAAAGTGGCCACAAAAAATAAGGCCATATCCAAGCACCAAAAAAGTCAGACGCCCTTTGCGAGTTCCACCAAGAGTGAGGTCACAAAACTGAGGATTGCATCGCCCTAAGGTAGGAGGTCATAAACATGCTTCGCCAAGGACACCTCAAAGAATTGTTGAGCGACCAGGGGAGGACCAACTTTGCCCGAGGACATGAACAACATCATGGACCGCTGAAACCGCCTTCACTGACTCGTACCATTCAAATGATCATCGGAGGACATCAAGCCAGAGCTAGTTTCACAGCTATCGATTCTCACCAGCAACCCTAGAGCTAATTCAACTTGAATACTGTCTTTTTTCTCTATACGAAATTCGGCAATGACACTTCAATCAACAGCATAAAGTTCACCACAACCCATAAACTCAAACGGTCAATCACTCACGAACGGTATGACGAACTCGAAGAAAGTATCATCTTCGATAAGTCAGATACACATTGTTTCACTACAACATAATGCATTTATAGCTACAAAACACTACGCAACTAATTATGAAAAATTTCGTGGCTAAACACTTTAGCTACAATATTTTTTTCCGTAACATTCGTAGTTAAAAGTTAGCTACAAACTTTACATGGTCCGTGGCTAAGGATTAATACTTTTTGCCACGACAAATACATTTATATTAAATGATTGTATACTCTAGCCACGACAAATAAATATGTAGCTATCTTTATGGTAGCCACGAAGTGTTATAGCGTAGCAAAAGTTTAAATTTATTTGCCACAAAAATTTAGATATGTAACTGTTTTCATATAGTAGCCAGTGACAAAAATATTTTTGTTTAGCTACGGACTAAAAGTTCCATAGCTACAAATCATACAAGAGTCGTGGGCAGATTGTTTTATTATATTTTAATTTTTTCGACAAAAAGTTAATTTATTATAATGATAGAAGTTCCTCTCGCAAATCCCCTGTTTCTTATCTATTTTATTTTTTCTAAAATTTTTCAATTATTCTGTGGCAGTGCATAATATATTAAATCTAATAACATATTAAATTTGAGTAATAACTTATTTTACACAAATTGGCATTTAAAATATTTCACAAAATAAATTTCAAAATACACATTTTTACTAATAAATTAATAGCATCTGCATTAGAGAAGTCTTCTACAATAACAGTAATTTGAAGAAAAGAACTAGCCATGTGAGGCTTGATTGTAACAGAGATACAAAAAATAATGTACAGAATTTCACATTAAATGAACATAAGTATTGCTTGATGATTCATGTTGCCACCCTCATCGTGCTTGATCTTCATCCATCCCATAATATTGAAGCACTCTCCGTAATCACTATACTGAAATAATAAAATAACATGATCTTTTGAGAAATTTATATTTTAATTATCAAAATATAGAGTGATTTAGACTCATTTACAGTTAGTAATTGAAAAAATTCAAAAAATTATGGAATAAGAAAAAACTTAGCCATGAATCAAGGTGGAACTTTTTTCCAACACAGAAGACAAAATAAAAAGCATTTAAATAAACATCATAAAACTTAATTAAGGAGACGAAAAAAGAAGTAAAACTTACAGTTTGACATTAGAAGAGATTGAAATTTCTCAAAGGCACTTTTCTCTTGAGCACCCTATAAATCGAAAACAAACAATTGAATCAGAAACTTAAGTCAATTAGGTGTAAGGCACAAAACCTATCAAATCTTCAAAATCACACTCACTATTTATAAAAAATAAGACATAATATCTATCAAATTGCTGAAATAACTTGTAAATTGAACTTAAAATCTCAAACCCAAATAGGTGTAAGAAGATTCAAAAACCCTACCATATAGAAGTCACAAACAAACAAGTTCAATTTTTATCTACAAATGAGAAGCAGTGTAGATCAATACCCTCTTTCTCTTCTTTGTTCTTGCAGCTTTAAATTAACGCCTCTACTATGGAAGAAGGGAATAATAAAATGGAGAGGAAGGGTGGCGGCCGAGAGTTTTGATTTTGGTTTGGAGGTTTAGGTTTAAGTCATACCTCTTCTTATATATTTAGCTTTATTTGCTTCTTAATATAAATACTATAGATACAATAACAAAATTCAAATATAAGTAAGAAAATTACATATAAACAAAAGAATAAATATCCGGGTAATTTTATCATTGTATTCCCGGGATCAGATTCTGATTATACTTATTTTGAGACTGAGTCTGAAGCTGAGATTGATCTGATAGATTTATCTGAAAGTAGTAAAGATTTGGATAATACTTGTGCCGCTTGTAAAGATGATATTTCCACTTGCGATGATGATGAGTTTTATAAATTGCAATCACAATCTCAAGATTTGAATATAAAAACTATTACATCTAACAATGTAATAGAACTTTTAAAGGAAATTACTGATGAAAAAATTCGTAAAAAAATTATAAATTTGACTGAAAGTTCTAGTTCTAGTGGTTCAAAGCTTTTTGAGAGACCAAAAAACGAATTTGAATATTTTGTGCCATATTCTTTGTCTGAAGTTAATAAACGTCTTCATACGACAAATACGCCAAGCAGAGATACTTCGTTTGAGGATTTGAAAATCGAAATTGAGAATTTGAAAAGAGATATTAAGTCTCTTAAACAAAATCAAATGATTTGTGATCACCGGATTACTCAAATTGGGAAAAATAATTCTCTAACTGATTTTCCAACTGATTTTTCGGCTAAAGGAATTTCCGAATTTTCAAATGAAAAAGGAAAAGAAATTTCTGATAAGATTGATTCGATTAATGAAAATTCTGATATGTTTTTAGGAATGATGCAGGTTGTTACGGCTCATAAGTGGTACGTTAAATGTACTATCTAGATTGATAATAGTTTCTCTCTAACTGATGTAGCAATGATTGATAGTGGAGCAGATGTAAGTTGTATTCAAGAGGGTCTTGTTCCTACTAAATATTTTCAAAAGACCACTCATTTGGTAAAATCTACTTCTGGTCAGGCTTTAGATATAGAGTATAAATTACCAAATACTCGTATTTGCCAAAATAGAGTCTGTATTCTTCATTTCTTCTTATTGGTAAAAAAAACCAGTTATACCCTCCGATTATACTTGGAACCCTTTTTATTAATGCTATTTACCCTTTTAATAACATAGATGCACAGGGTTTTTTTGCTACTTATCAAGATAAAGAGATAAGTTATTCTTTTGTTACAGATCCCGTAACTAGAGAAATTAACGCCTTGATTAATATGAAACAAAGGCATGTTGATTCATTACAATTAGAAATATTGAGCATGAATATATTCGATACTTTATAATCTGCTAAGGTTCAGCAAAAGATTAAATTGATTGCTGAACAGATGGCTGTTGATGTTTGCGCTGATCACCCTAGTGCCTTTTGGAACCGAAAAAGGCATATTGTAACTCTTCCTTACGAAGAAAACTTCACCGAGGATGATATCCCCACTAAATCTCCACTAAGGTTCTGCCTTTTATGTTAATAATGCTGCGAAAAAGGAATGTGGTATTCCTAGATTCGTTATAAATTATAAACCTTTGAATAAGCATCTGAAATGGATTATATATCTTATCCCCAATAAAAGAGATCTGCTATCTAGATTATATGACGTCAATATATTTTCAAAATTCGATTTAAAATCTGGATATTGGCAAATTCAAATTTTTAAAGAGCATACTTATAGAACTGCTTTTAATGTTCCATTTGGTCAATATGAATGAAACGTCATGCCTTTTGGTTTAAAAAATGCCCCTTCTGAATTTCAGAAAATTATGAATGATATTTTTAATCCTTATCTGGATTTTATCATCATTTATATTGATTACATATTAGTATTTTCTAAAACATTAGAGATGCATATTAAGCATCTTGATATTTTTAAGAAAATTGTAATACAAAACGGCCTAGTTATTTCTAAAACAAAAATGAGTCTATTCCAAACCAATGTTCTATTTTTAGGCCATAATATTTGCCAAGGAAAAATTACCCCGATACAAAGAGCGATTGATTTTGCTTCAAAATTTCCTGATGTTATTACTGACAGGACTCAATTACAAAGATTTTTGGGAAGTTTGAATTATATATCTCCTTTCTACAAAAGTTTATCTCGTGATCTAGCTCCTCTGTACGACAGGCTGAAAAAGGATCATAGGCAGCCTTGGACTGACCAGCATACTACGTTAGTCAAAAGTATTAAACAGCGTGTTAGGTCTCTACCTTGCTTAACTCTTGCTAATCCTACATGGCAAAAAATTATCGAGACAGATGCGTCCAACGTTGGCTACGGTGGGATTTTAAAGCAAGTGAATCCCAACAATAAGAGTGAATACCTGATAAGATTTCACTCTGGTAAATGGACCGAAGCCCAGAAGAAATATGCTACTGTGGCTCATGAAATGTTAACTATTGTTAAATGTGTTTTAAAATTTCAAGACGATTTATATAATCAAAAGTTTTTAATAAAAACTGATGCTCAATCTGTTAAATATATGTTTGACAAAGATTTCAAACATGATGCGTCTAAATTAATATTTGCTAGAGGGCAAGCTCAACTGGCGCCTTTTGATTTTGAAATTCAATACAAAAAAGGAATTGATAATTCCCTTCCGGATTTTTTATCCCGGGAATACTTAGACTGATTATGATTTTCTATACGACTTTTCTCGATGAATAATTATTAATTACTATCCTTAAAGTGGTTAGATTAAATAGAGATCTACAAAGTCTCATAATTGAATTGATAATTGAAGAAATCATTGATAACCTGATTAATAATGAATTTTCTATTCATGATTATGCTGAAACTGTTAGGGATGATATGTTGGATTATTACTTCTCAGAATAAATTGACTTGTTATTTGTGCAGAATGTACCCTTCATGGGCCACCAGAGGCATAGGTAGGGGAAGATCTTCCCCTAGTAAATCATATTCTCAAGGATCGTCATATGGATCCTCATCAAGTTCTCCGGTGATACAAGCGGGAAAAAAGAGTTTAATAAACTCTAAGATATTTCATAAAGGAGATTCATCAGTAGGTCCGTCTATACATCTGGATGATATTCCAGGAGATAATCCATTATACGGTCATCTACAGGTGTATTTGGCCGTCAAAAAGCAAAGTAATACATTTGCTTCAATTGCTAGAGAAGAGGACAACGATGATATCAAGTCCTACGAAAAACTACAAAGAAGGAAATAATATTTCTTTTAGAAAACTCTGAGATTCAGCGAAAGGATGAACCATGGAAGATATTCCAGAGATACCTGATTAATGGGTTATACTACCCAGGTGAATCATATAAAACTTGCGCTTATTATGAGACCATCCTCATCAGCACAGGTAGTGCAGAATTCCAGCACTTTTCCGGTTATAACACCAGTGAAAACGTTTATAACTTCTCAAAAATTATTATCAAGCAGATTATATCTATTGAAGAATGGGGGATATCCATAATGAAAGAGAGGCAGATAAGCCTTAATAAATCACCCATGAATTTTACTTACTGGGATTATATCCAGGCATTCGATAGAGTATTATATTATAACAATGATAGACATAAACACACTTGATTTATTAAAATATGTGCAAAGATATTTGCAGGACCTATCCCGAATTGGTTTTTGAACTGGTGGTCATATCACGGTCCCACAACAAAGATCTTGCCTGAGCCATTTCTTAAGTTATACAAAGAATGGACAAAAATTTCTCCGTTTTTAACTGATTTATATCATACATATCATATCTGTTATTTAGAAAAAATTGATTAGATATACTTCTTCATTGAATTCTCTATTCCGTGGATTCATAAATGGACCCCCGAATTGGGGTTTACTGAAGAACAGATCCTATAGTAGAAACACAGTATACACAGTAGATACACTGTATACACAGTAAATACACTGTATAAGGGACCCGCATAAGGGACCTAGGCACTGATACCATTTATGATTATGGTTGGTTTGATAAACTTTCTTCAAAACAATTGATAAAAACGACAGAACAGTCTTTGGCGTTAAATTCTTCTGAACAAACTATTCGTTTGTTAAACAAACACGATATTGACTTATACAAATATCATTATCATTACTTGCATATATGTATGGTTCAAATTGCGTTTAAACCTTTAACCCTTAAAAGGTTACCAGAGACCTTTTTGGCAGCCCTTAGAGATGCTAGAAATCTGAATTTCAGACAGTCTTTGATGGGTTCGATTGAATATACTGTCGCCTATGGTCCAGTATATTTTAATACTCAACCCAATTTGCAACTATCTCTTTCTGATGTTAATATTCTTGGTGCCTTGATTTAAATGTGAAAATGCATGGTTATAATTATGTGCCTGGTTCTGAACTTATATGTTTATCTTATAGGATATATTTTAAATTATTGTCTACTTTAAATCCTCGATGTAAGTTATACGATACATCGGATCAGACCATATTAGTCGAAACCAATTTTGCAAGGTCCAAGGTCACCACTAGGAGACCTATTAGGTGGGAAGAAATTAATTTCCCAACTACTTGGACTTTAAATTCGGTTATATCCCCAAGTCAGATTACTAATGACTTGTCAAATACTGATTGTTCGCATGTTACTCAAAACCTGGATGGTAGGATTTGTATTCAAATTGATGATAAGTCTACTGTTTATAATAGACATTCGTTTTCTAATCATAGACTTTTACCTGCTCTTCAACATATTTCTCCTGTCGAGCCAGTCTATGGTCCAGCTCGAAATCGTGCAGCATCGTTACACACTATCGCTAAAAGGGGAGTAATAAGTTTGTCGAAAGGGTTAAAATTAAACCACAAACAAATATTGTTCAAGACAATGACAATATTTCTGATAAGGATATTCCTTCTATATCCGAAATGGATTTCGACCCCAATGATACTTAATGATTCCACACCAAATTGATTTTAGCCCAGCCCAGCTTCGTGGCTGGTGGGATAACTATCTATTTGTTGAAGAAAAGGCAACAGTTATTAATGCGACCTCCGTTGACGAAGGGGTTGAT